CGCGAGAGCCCGCCCCCTCCGCGCGCACCGGGACTACGCTCTCCTCCCCCTCCCGCTCCGAGAGCTACCCCGCTCCGCCCCCCACCCCCTCACACATCCACACACCTCCCGCCCGCCTGCTCTACGGGAAGCCGAGGAGGTCAGCCCCCCCTAAAAATACACACCCTCGAGTCCCGCGTTACCCGCCACCAGGCTCCCCACCCCGACCCCGGCCCGGCATGCTCTCACCGCAAAGCTGCTTCGGCCGCTCTTCACTGCGTGTCCCTCTCGGCGTGAGCCTCAGGCTCAGCAGGGAGGCCCCGAGAACGGCGCGGGGCACAGGCCCGCCAAAGCGGACTGGCAGCCTCCTCTCCGCTAACGAAGCGGTCCCAAGCCCCGGTGCCCAGACTGGGAAGGAGGGAGGGAGGGAGGGAGGGAAACTCCGAGGGGGGAAGGGGAGGGGGGGAAGATGGAGAAACCGTCTCCGCCGCCTCTACCGCCGCGGCCGCTTCTCTGTTACCCGGGAAATCCCGCCCACTCCCCTGGCCCGCCCCGCCGAGGGAAGACTCAAGTTCGCTCCGTCACAGGCCACCACATCCGCCCGTCAAAGGCTTAGCCAATCGCTGTGCTCTGCCTGCCGACTGCCCGCCCCTTCCCTCTCCGCTGGGAGGGGAGGGGGAGCCGCTCACCTTCTCCACGCCCCTATTGGCGGGGAGCTTCCCTAACTCAACCCCGCCTATTGGAGATGAATTGCTGAATCCCACCCCCAAGCCGCAACACTATTGGAGGAAGCAGGGAAGCTCTCCACGTCTCATTGGAGAACTCCATATATCCCGCCCCGTGCTGCCTCAGCCACAGGTCCAACAACTCGGCTCCCGCCCTCGCCGGTCATCGCATTGGAAGGCTACTCCTCGCTCTCCGGCTGCCCCAGGAAGGTAAGTAACCGATGTGGGGTAAAATGTCCGTGAGACGGGCTCCTCCTACCGCACTGCCGGGCCAGGCCCCGCCCCAACCATCGGATTGGGTATCTCGGCGCCGGTAGGAGTCTCCATTGGTCAGGAAGCCCGTCTAAGAAAAAGCTGACTCCGCCCTGCGCGAGGAGGCTGAACCTTAGCAGTCCTTTTGTGGAATGTTTACACTAGAGACTGAAGCGCAGAGTTCCAGGGCCCGAAACAGGAGGTGGTGCGGAGCTAAGCAGCGGGAATCCGATGCCTTGGGATTTGAAAGGGAGAGGCAGCAGCAGTGCCACCGTGGAGGATCCCCTTACAAAAATAAAGAGAAAGAGAACCTCATCCATCCTCTCCAGTCCTCTCTTTACAATTTACATTTCTGCACGCGCCTCCTTGTAAACACAAATATCCGGAGCAGCCGACAGCTCCTTTCAGTAAGTAGAATACAGAATTAAGGGCTGGAGACCAAAGTCGAGGAACAGCTCCAGGGATTGCTCATCCCCGCAGCTAGGGATGGCTGCGTACTTCTAACGCCGACACTCCCTAAACCTGAATATGCAGTCCTAAGAGGGCGGAGATGACCAAAATGAGGGCAGAGCCCTAAGAGCCAACGCCCTGGCAAGCCTCCGGAAGGCGGAGCGTGAAGCCTAAGGCACTCGAGATCTTCACGGTAGATCTGGAGGCATCCTTAGACTCGAAGAACTGAAGGAGACTTAACAGGCCACGGCATAAATGAATCTTAGCGCCTTATCTCAGAGAAAAGATAAAAATTCCAGAGCTGGGGACAAAGGTGGTAAGAACCAATGTTCACCTCCTCCTTTGGCCAACGTGTGTTAGTGACAGTCCCTAGGCCCTGTCTGTAGGTAATATAGCCTTGAACACAGACAAAGTGCTTACGATACCTCGGTTGCTTTTATTTACAAATTGGGCGAAATGACGCTGGCCTTACTTTGGGGGGCGCTCACGGAGCGCCAGGAGAGGAGGGGGCGGGACTAGAGTTTTCCCGCTCTCTTCCGCAAAAAAGGCTACTCCCCCAAGAGAGCTGGGTCAGTCCCCAAGTGGCAGGCCCCAGGTAACTCTTAGGTACTATCTCGTCCTCCCTCCGCAGTCCAGCGGAGACGACGACAGAAAATGAGCGCTGGCAACAGGTGGGCCTGACTCCAAGCTGCAAGGACAAGGCAGCGAACTGTGAACTCCATGAATAGCCGACAGATGGGAGCAGCCTCTCCGGGAGCCAAGCCCTGCCCCAGGACGGAGCTCAAAAAATAAGCCTCACCGACTAAACAGATGAGACCTCTGGGCCAAACCTCTAGTAGGTTACGAAGATGTGGCATTTATGTAGAACTGACCGAGGGCTACTTTAACTCTGGGCCGTCACCCGCTGCCTGGACTGGGTGCCACACGGCGCTCCAATTAAGAATCACTTGGAACCCAAGCAGAATTGGGCCGCCCTCGACTTCTCTATCAGCAGGGGATGAGCTGCCCTGGATCTTGCCTAAGGCCAACCCTAGGTTGCTCAGAGTTTTTGATAAAGCCAAGTAAGGACAGCGCTGCCTTTCGCTGGGAAGAAAATACATTGCCAGCGTCCGCAGCGTTCTCAAGCTTAAGCTTAGGGCTATATCCGGGAAGTCGAGGGGTGCGGGAATAGCCAGGCCGCAGAGTCAGAACTTTAGTACTTGGCCGGAAAGGGCACGTTCCACCCCTTCCTCCCAACTCCTGCAGAACCCCCAGAACTAAGCCCCCAAATCCACTCCACACCGTCAACACCTGTCTTCATCGCAAAGGCTACCAGATCTCGAGCCTTGGAGAAATCATTATGTGCCTTCTTGGCTCTCCCCGCCCCGCGTGCCAAGGGCTCCAAGTGCGGGACTTCCGGGCGGGAGGACAGTTCGAAGGAGCTGGGCGGCCCTCACACATGTGCGGAGCGCGCACACACGCTAGGGGAGGGGGCGGGGAAAAGGGGTGGACTTCCCCTTCAAGCTTGTTCCCCCGGAGGAGGCGGGGCTACCCATGCCACCAATCAGAAGTAGGGGCGGTACCTTGCGCCTCACGTAAGCCGCAGGAATCCTCCCTCCGCCCTTCGCGGAAAAAAAAATCCTAGCAACTTAAACTCCAGCCCGGCCTCCGATAGGCGGAGCTCGGGAGAATGTCATCCAATCAATAACCTAGAAGGAAAAAAGGGAATCTCGCCCAGCCAGTGGAAGACAAGAGAAGGCGGGCCCTCTGGAGGAGCCTGAGGTGGGTGGAAGAGAGAGGGAAAGGCCCCGCCCCTCAGCTCCCCTCTAGGCCGGTTGCACAAGCCGTCGCCGGAGTAGATAGTAAACAGGCTAGGCCAAGGAGTGAAGGCAGGGGCCGCCCGGTGCTCCGTGGGCCCGAGCCCCTGCGCCTCCTCTCCTGGCCTCGCCCCGCCCGACCTCAGCGGTTCGCGCCAGTGCCCCGCC